GGTTTTGACAAACAAGAAACAGATAATTAGGTAAATAAACTAGATAAAGCCATGCCTGGGCAGAGCTTCACACTGCTCCCCGGGCTACACGCGGTGCGGTGACTTCTTGGGGTGGTAGGCTTCTTCCCATCCCTCTCGGAGTATCCTGGGATTTTACTTAGAAAAAGGGGTGTGCAATCGCTTCGCCTGGATGCAAAATCCCAGCCAGGCTTGCCTCCACCTGCACCGCCTCTCCCTTCACATGGACCTCTCGAGGCCGACCTGTTTTGCTGAGCTCGGCGTCTCTTAACCCAGCTCTCAAAACTGAGACACTTCCCCAGCCCAACGTGACCGAGTCGCGGCACGTGTAGTTCGCTCGCTCTCCTCCTCCCCCGGGGACAACCATCTGCAAGCTGAGCCCGGAGCAGTTGCAAGGATGCATCACAGTTATTTTTACCATCTTCCGGCTGCTCCGGGTGTGTGCAAGGGAAAAGAGGAAGAAAAAGTGCACCTGGGACCTGGTGGGGGTATCCAAGGGCTCCGGGGAGCACGTGCACCCAGCCCATATGGCACAGGGCTGTCCCCTGCCCCTGGGGAGGCAGAAAGAGGTCCAAGAGCTGGAGCTGTCGAGCACGGCCATCATCAAATCAAACTAAAATGGAGGCAGGTACTAGAGAAACAGGCAGGGGAGGCCCCTACGGCAGCGGGGACAGAGGGGAAGAGAAGGGGCTTGGGTGATGGCGGGGCTCTGCCGTGGATCAAAGCAAAGCCCTGTGGGGGCCTTTCCACACTCCGTGTTGCTAAAATCCATGCTGGGTCCCTATCAGGACGCTTCGGGTCGGTCAGCATGAGTTTCAGCATGGGAAGCAGCAGCTGGAAAGTGAGGGCAAAGTCCAGGGCAAAACTTCTGCCGGTGGCAGGAGGCAGCGGGTGCCCCCAGCTCCTTCCACGGGTGCTTCCAAAGCGCGCCCCGAAAGTCACCGGCAGGGAAGGGGAACATGGCCTCATCTCTGCTCCCTGGGGGGGGGGGGCACAGGACCACAACCGGGCAGGAATTAAATGAAGCACCCTCTTAACGGCATCTTGTGAATAAACGATGCTGCACTTCACCTCCCTGAGTTACTTCCTTGCGGAAGAAATGCGAGTGGTTTTCGGAAGTGGAAATATTGAAGCGTGGGGCGGGATGCAGAAGCAGGGCAGGCAGCAGGCAGCGCTGGCAGGGGCACAGCACCCCGGGCCAGATGTACCACAGGGCCCTGGAGAGACCCCAACACCTGTCCGGACCCTCCAGGGGGCATTAGCTTAAAGGCATAAATTCTGGCAAACTTTATGCTGTGTCAGCATCTAATGCTGCCCCCCAGCCACTGCCAGCCTGTCCCAGAGTTTGTCCCACTGTTGGGCTCTCCTGTCTCCTCCGAGGCCAAACCTCACAGCACGGGGACAGGAGACCCCACGACTGCCTGGGCTCAGCACCACATCCGCATCCGGCACAGCTCAGCCTGCAGATGCCCGCCCGCCTGCTGCAGCGTTTGCCAGTGCCAATGGAGCCGCCACCACAGCCCGATGGCACCGGGCACCCCTCGAGCTGGACGGGCACGGTCCCTGCAGGGTTACTGCCAGGGAATGGGAGATGGGAATGAACAGGAGCCGAGGACCCGTGGGGCACCCAGGGTGCGTGCAGGGTGCCCATCTCCTGCACCGTGTCTGCTTCGCCCGACGAAGAAAAGCACCACAGTGCAGATAGCTCATAAAACCAGGCAGCGCCCAGGGCCGCTTCCCAAAGCCACCATGTGCTCTTTGGAAACGAGGGCCCCTACATGAGCTATCATCAGCTCTTTCTCCAGCGATTCGAAATAGCAGGAGGGAAGCCCTTCAGCTGCATCATGAATCATCCCTGGGAGGCAGAGCGGTTATTTTTACGGTGCTCTGGCTTGCGTGGAGCTGCCAACGCATTCCCCCCAAGATGGGCTGCACTGCCGCAGCGGGAGATGCGGTCCTGTCCCTGCCGGGGGGCCTGCTTTCATGGGGACCAGGGGTCCCAAGGGCTCATCATCCCATGAGGTTCCCTGCCAGGGGAATGTGATGGTGAATGCCATCAGAGAGGTTCGCCTTTGCTCAGTGGAAAAAGGAAAAGCTGTGCTGCTACCAGGGGTTAGCTCGCTCGCGGGAACAGCCTGCAGAGCTCAGGACGTTGGCGTGAGTCCTCTCCCCTCTCCCTGTGCCCGCCGGCTCCTGTGAAAGCCGATGGCTGCTTTCCCCTCGCCGGGGTCTCACCCCTTTGGGCAGCACCACAGATCACCATCACCCTCCACGAAAATGAAACTAAAAGGGGGAGAGGAGAAGGGGGGCCGGATCTTGCTAAGCGCAGGGATGAGGATGCATTGCAACGTGGCTGGGCTGGGCGCCCCGCAGTAAATCGTACAAGCTTCAGCACCTCTGTCACCTCAGGTGACAAACATCAACCTTGTGAAGAAGGATGCAGCAGGCAGGGGACCGGGGGCCATGCCCACCCACCCCGGTCTCCCCGTCCTCCTGCCCCTGGCTCTGTGGGGCAGGAGCCCTGTAGACGAGAGCAGCAGGAGAGCTCTTTCAGTTTAATTGCCTGAAAAAGCCCCATTTGATGGGGTGACAGTGTGACAGCAAGCCACCGGCTCATCCCGCTCAAGCACAGGGGGACAGACAGGCCGTGTGTGCCATTGCCCTCCTGGCCGCTGGGCTGGGTGCCATTGCCCCGAGCCCTGGCCAGTCCCAGGGGGCTGCAGGGAGGAGGGCTGGGAGCAGGGACAGTGTGCGGAGCCGGCACCAC